TCTTTTATCATTTGCTCCCCTCTCTCTTCTTTTTTTTTTTCTCTCTCTCTCTCTCTCTCTCTCGTTCCTCTTCTCTGCCCTGCTGTCTCCTTCTCTCTCCTTCTCTCTCCTCCCTCCCTCCCTCCCTCCCTCCCTCCCTCCCTCTCTCTTTTCTCTCCCTCTCCCTGTCTCTAGTGGCCTTCGGCCCAACCCGCCATCCTGCTGAGTTTGTGGGCCAGAGGCCTTTTGGACGCCCCTTGGGGTCTTCTGAGAAGCCTATTGGGAGCTTCTTGGGGTCGTCTCGAGAGCTGCGGCCTTCAGGGGCCTCTGGGAGGCCTGTCGTGGGCCTCTCGTGGGGGCCTTATGTGGGCCCTGTGTGGTGTCTTGGGCTGATCTTGGATGGGGAGGCTTCGGGATGTTGTTTGTTGTTTGACATCTCCTGGAGAAGGAGGAGGAGGAGGAGGAGGAGGAGGAGGAGGAGGAGGAGGAGGAGGAGGAGGAGGAGGAGGACTCCTGGGGCCGTCTCAAGGGCTACTGGGCACCTTTTTGGGGCTCCGGGGGCTGTCCTGGGGGCTGCCTGGCCGCCTTGGACGCTCTCGAGACCGAAACGGCGAGAATGCGTGACGTATACGACAGCTTCAGGCTCTCCATGTTTTGTTGCCACTTGAGCGACGCAAGCAAACGGGGTCGTTTGCGCCGACATTGGAGCGTAAGTTGCCCGCGTAAGGTCGCGCGTAAGCGCCCTCGTCTCCAGCGTTGCGTGCCGCGCTGGCGGCCCGCGTAAGCCGCCGCCTGTGGCCGCACTGTCATCTCGCGTAAGACCCCTGCACGCCTCCTCTTCATCCTCCACCGCGTTCTCCCCTTCTTCCTCCTGATCCCCCTGCCCCTCTTTCCCTTTCTCCTCATCATCCTCCCCGTTTCGCTTCCCTCTCCCTGCCCCTGCTCGTCCTCGTCGTCGTCGTCCTCCTCCTCCGCCTCCTCCTCCTCTTCCTCCTACTCCCCCTCCCCCTCCCCGCACCACTTCTCGCCCCCTCCCCGAGGGGCGCTCGGCGCGGCGCTGACGTGCCGCCTCCCGCGCTGGGAGGGACGGAAGCCCGCGGCGCCGGGGGGAGCTCGAGCGCGCTGGCGACGGGGGCCGGGCGGACCTCCGAGAAAGGGCGCCGCAGAGGGGGGGTGTTGGGTCCGTCCGTGATTGGGCGCAGGCTTACAAGCAACGCTAACACCAGCAACAACAGCACCACCAACAGCAGCAGCAACCGCAACAGCAGCAGCAACAGCAACAGCATCACCACCACCAACAACAATAGCAACAGCAGCAACAACGACAGCCACATCAACACCACCAACACTAACAGCAGCAACAACACAATCACCACCAACAACATCGACGTCAACAACATCAGCACCACCATCAACAACAGCTCGCGTTACAACAACACCACCACCAACAACATCAACACCATCAACACCAACAACAACCACATCAGCGACGACAGCAACAACATCAACCACAAAAGCAGCAGCCACGCCAACAACAACGACAACACCAACAGCAACAGCAACGGCAGCAGCAGCAACAACAGCAACAGCAGCAACAACAACAACAAATCAAAGGAGCAGGCGCGTGGGTGACGTCGAGGACTCGATCGGGGTGGCCTTTCTCTCTGCATCATTTGTTTTGGCCAGAGGGCTTCCTGACGGCTCGGCCGCCGGCACCTTGGATTCTCTGGTTCGACAGCGCGCTCGCGCGGCGGCCCGTCGTGCGCTCGCCACTCGCGCGAGGGCCGGGCCGGGCCGGGCTGCCGGGTGCTCTCTCTCTCTTCGGCCGGGCGGCTGCGAGGGGGCCGGCCGCGGGAGGCATCGGGCACCCCGCCCTCCCCGCACGTCCCCTGCCCCGCCTCCCCCGCCGTCCCCCCCCCCCCCCTTCCTCGCCTCCCCTCCCCCTCATCCCCCTCCCCTGCACATCCCCACCCCCCTGCGCGCCCCCCTCGCCTCCGCATCCCCTCCCCCCTCCCCTCCCGCTCCCCCCCCCCCCCGCATCCCCCTTCCTCCCCCCTTTGCTGGGCTCCTCGCCTGCCTTTCTTCTCCATCGTTCACGGTGGCCGATGGCGAGCGCGTCCACGTAGATGCGTCCTTGTTGGGAGGGGGGCGATCAGAGGTCGGTCTCCTCTCCCGCGTGTCCTGGCTCTCGTTGTGAGGCGGTGGAGGAAGGGGGGGAGGAATCGAGGCGAGGATCATTGATGTTCGGGAGGGAGGTGCAGATATGCCGTCGCCAATGTTTGCTGGCATCGCGTGGCTCGTGGCTTCTCACCGGGTTCGCCTGAGATTTGTGGTTCTCTTCTTCTCCCTTGCACCCATCCCCTTCTGAATGACATGATTATTGTAGCGTGCGCTCTACTTTGGGGCTTGATTGCGCGCAAGTTGGCTCCTAAATGTTGGGTTTGCAGCTGTTGTACGTAAGACGGGCGGCAATCGCCGTCGCCGTCCGTCTTGGCGCAGGTCGACTCGATTGGGCTTGAAATTGATATGAGCGCGTGGACCCCTCAAACATTTAGATTGGAGCGAACCTTATGTGTGGACTCTTAGGTGCGTGGAAGCCTTCGCGTGGGGTCCTCAGTGTGCGGCGCCGTAGATGTGGAACTTCCCTGCGTGTGTCTGCGTGTGCCTGCGTATTCCTTCGTGTGTCTGCGTGTGTCTGCGTTTGCGCGCGTGTTTCTCTGTCTGCGTATGTGTCTGCGTGTGTTTGTGCGTGTGTGTGTGTGTGTGTGTGTGTGTGTTTGTCTGTGTGTGTCTGTGTGCGTCTGCCTGCGTGTGTCTGCGTGTGTCTCTGTGTGTGTCTGTGTGTGCCTGCGTGTGTCTGCGTGTGTCTGTCTGTGTGTGTGCGCTTGCGCACGCGCGTGTGCGTGTGTTTATGTGTGTGTGTGCCTGTGTCCGTACCTGTGTGTGTGTGTGTGTGCGTGTGTCTGTGTGTGTGTATTTGTCTGTGTGTGTGGCTGAATGTGTGTGTGTGTGTGTCTGTTTGTGTGCCTGCGTGTGTCTGCGTGTGTCTGCGTATGCCTGCTTGTGTCTGCGTGCGTCTGCGTGTGGTGTTGTGAGTCTGTGCGTGTTTTTCTATGTGTGTCAGCGTTTGTGGTTGTGTGTGTATGCGTGTAGCTGTGTGTGCTTGCGTGTGCCTGCGTGTGCCTGCGTGTGTCTGCGTGCTCATGCGTGTTTCTTTGTCTGCGTATGTGTCTGTGTGTGTGGTTGTGTGTCTGTGTGTGTGTGTGTGTGTGTGCGTGTCTGCGTGTCTGCGTGTGTGTCTGTGTGTATAGGCATGCGTCAGTGTGCCTGCGTGTGCGTGGTTTGTTGTTGTTTTGGTGTGTCGCTGTGTTTCTGTGTGTGTCTATGTGTGTTTGTGTGTGTGTGTGTCTGTGTGTGTATGTCTGTGTGTGTGTTTGTGTGTGTCTGTGTGTGTGTGTGTGTGTCTGTGTGTGTGTGTGTCTGTGTCTGTGTGTGCGTGTGTGTCTGTGTGTCTATGCGCGCGCGCGTGTGTGTGTGTGTGTGTGTGTGTGTGTGTGTGTGTGTCTGTGGGTGTGTGCGTGCCCGTGTGTGTGTGTGTGTGTTTGTGTGTGTGTGCGTGTGTGTTCCACCCTTGCTGTCCTTTCCTAGGTAGGCGCATGGTATGGCCGATGCTTGCGGATCCCTGCTCCAGCTTCTGAGGGGCCAGCCGCGCGCGCTCTTAAGTCCGTTCCCCGACCGACTTCCTCTGCCTCTCGGCTGCGCGCGAGGCCGCAATCGCCCAAAAAGTGTAGATTTGTCTTCGTCTTGGCATCGCTCGGACGTGTGCACTTTTCCTTCGGCGACGAGGACCATCGAGGAGCATCCTTGATCACTTGGCGAGAAAAACCACGCACGCCCCCCCCCAAAAAACAACGGTGAATGGACATCCGAGCGATGGCCACTCGTCTTCCATTCCCTCGTCGCTCGTCTTCTGCACTCCCGCTGTCCAGCGGCCTGCGGCAAGTCCCGCCACTGTGCCGGCCCAGCATTTATTGCGTGGGAGAGCCGTGATGATCGTGAGCGTGAGGGTGGGGATGAGGGTGATGACGATGTTGAGGATGCTGATGTTGGTGGCGGTGGTAGTGATGATGATGCTGCTGATGATGATGATGACGATGATGATGGTAGTGGTCGTGGTGGTGGTGATGATGATGGTGATGGCGATGGTGGTGTTGATGATACTATTGGTGATGATGTCGACCCTGGTCATGCGGATGATGTTAATGGGGGTGGTGAAAATGGTACTGCTGCTGCTGCTGATGATGATGCTGAGGGTGCTGATGCCGATGCTGCTGATGATGACGCTGAGGGTGCTGATGATGGCGAAGTTGATGATGTGGCTCGCGATAAATGATGACGATTATGATGGTGGTAGCAGTGGTAGTGACGAGGATGATGCTGATGATCATGATTATGATGATGCTGATGATGATGGTAATGATGGTAATGATGATGATTTTGATGATGATGAGGAGGAGGAGGAGGAGCGTGAAGGAGGGGAAGAGGAGCAGGAGCAGGAGGAGGAAGAAGAAGACGACCGTCACATGTCTTCACTAGTTGAGGAACTCTACTGGAACTCGTTGGGGGGCCTCTTCGCTTCCGAAAGGTCAGGCGACAAGATGCCCTGGGGCTCAGGGGGCACGCTGGGAGCCGTGAGGATTTGAGAGCTTGGGGTCTGGGCCCTTCAAAGGATCTGCAGGATTAAGTTCCGGGTCTCAGGGGATCGGGCAAGTGGCCTTATGACACTCCAGCTCGTGCCCGAGGACACGATGGCGGATATGTGTGTGAAGTCCTCTGTGTGTGTGTGTGCGTTTGGAAGCTCATGCGTGTGGATATCATGTAGGCATGTTGAACCCAACTTCTGTGGCACCCTATTTGCTTGGTGTCCTCCCTATGTGAAACACGCTGGGCATGAGTGATCATGGGTGAGCTACCACTGCCGCTGCTTGTCTTTTCGCAACTGGGGCTGCCCGGTGCCCCAGACGTCCTCCGGCTTCGGCGGGGACCCGAAGAGATACATCAACATATTGCGTTGTTTGAGGCGCCATTGTGTTCGTCACTGGGACAGGGGCATGTTGGAACGTTGGCCGTCAGGGAAGGGGGTAGGGAAGGCCAAGAATAGTTTGTATCGATGGCGTAGGCTCTGGGTGATTGCCTGGTGCAGAGACGGAGGTCGTTTTGAACACGCGGCCCATCATCTTCCTGTCAGATCACCACCCACCAAACCACCCCAACCCAACCCGAAGGCCTCAATTTGCCCTCCATTTCCAGTTGGGGGGGGGGCGGGGAACATGGAAAAAGCACATGTGGAACCCGTACGCCCCCCCCAACCCGAAATTGGGGCCTTCGGGTTGGGTTGGGGTGGTCTGGTAGGTAGTCAGAATTGAGGCGGGGATGATTGATGTTCGGGAGGGAGGTGCAGATATGCCGTCGCCAATGTTTGCTGGCATCGCGTGGCTCTTGGCTTCTCACCGGGTTCGCCTGAGATTTGTGGTTGTCTTCTTCTCCCTTGCACCCATCCCCTTTTGAATGACATGATTATTGTAGCGTGCGCTCTACTTTGGTCGTCAGAGAAGAAAAAAAAGTTGGCCGTCAGAGGATGTTTTTGTGGCCCGCTGCGGGCCTGGGCATGCGGCCCGAGATTTTTGCCGAGGCATGCCCTGGTGCGGATCGTGGGCCGCGCCGGTGGGTTCGGCGTCGCAGGCGCGCCAGCAAAGGGGCCCGGTGGGGGCCCGGAGGGCTGGGAGCCCAGCGCGGGTCGGGCGTCGAGTGAGGCGGGGAGGAGGAGGAGGAGGAGGAGGAGGAGGAGGAGGAGGAGGAGGAGGAGGAGGAGGAGGAGGAGGAGGAGGAGGAGGAGGAGGAGGAGGAGGAGGAGGAGGAGGAGGAGGAGGAGGAGGAGGAGGAGGAGGAGGAGGAGGAGGAGGGGGGGGGTGAGGCAAGGTGCGCCCTTCGGGCCCTCAAGGGGCCCTGCAGGAGGGCCCCCTGGGGCCCAAGAGGGGCACGAGAGGTGCACGCTTCCCCCCCCCCCCCTCCCACACACGCATCGCCCCCTCCCATGCATTTTCACGCCCAGAGTGGGGGTGGGGGGTCGGAAGCGAGCCTTCTTAGACATCGGGTCCATGTGGGCGACGGAAGAGAAGTGGGTCGTCTTCGCCGACATTGGCGCGTAAGCTGCTCGCGTAAGGTCTCGTGCGTGTGAGCACCCACGCTTCCAGTGTAGCGTGCCGCGCTGGCGGCCCGCGTAAGCCACCACCTAAGGTCGCTAGACCATCTCGCTGAAGACCCGTTTTTGATCGTCGATCATATGCAGCCAGGCGAATCGACAATCGGCAATGGTTTGCCGAGGAGATGGAGGATGATGAGGAGGTGGTGGATGACATGGAGGAGGAATATAAGGAAGGATGAGAGAGGAGGCACGGGGGAAGATGGGCGGGAGCAGGGAGGAGGACGGAGCGAAGACGCAGCAAGATGTATGAACAGCAGGGAGGAACGATGAGGAAGGATGTGAGGAACGATGCGGGATGGACCGGGGAAGGAGGCATGAGGGATGAGTGGTGGGGGAGGGGGAGGAGTTGCGGGCAGGAATGGTGAGGGAAGAGAGGGAGCGGGATGAGAAGGATGAGGAGGGCCTGGGCGGAGCGAACGGGCGAGTAGCGCGACGTTGCCAGACGCTTGAGTACTTCTCGGCGGCGCCTCAGAGGGAGGGAAGGCGGATGGGCTGGTCTTCTCAGAAACCTCAGAAGGCCTTTGGGAAGCCTTGTAGGCCTCCTCCGAAGCGCCGCCGCCTTCTGAGAAGGCCTGCCCCCTTCTCACTCCCCCCTCGGCGCGCCGCCGATCTTTCGAATCACCCGCTCAGGCTTCTGCGTGTCGTGAAGCAGGTCCTGAAGATCAAGGAGGTCCAGACCATGGTCGAGGCGGTCTCCACGATAGTGACCGCCTCCAAGGATCACGATGCCGGTTCTTCGCCCGGGTGCGTGGGAGCAGCGCGCTTGAAGTGAGTCTGTGCGGGTTCAGCCACGTACGCCATGCCCCAATGGTGCGGTAGACGTCACTTGCCGTCAGTTGCAGGACGAAGCTCGAGGTGCGCACGAGTGTTGCATCTATTTTATCTTAGGATTTGTTTAGGAATGCCATTTTGAATCTGCTCTCTAGCTTGCCACAACGACAACTTGTCGGATAGCTGCGCTAGCGCGCAGCGTTTGTAGTTCTAGGGCTGGTATGCTTGCCCGCGAGGGTCCTCATGCATGGCGTCCCAGAATCGTGTAGGTGTTGCAGTTTCGCGTCTTTCTCCCCAAGCGGCACATAAGACCCCGGGAGTCATTCGTCTGATGTTCATGTGGTGTTGCCCCTGATGCCTATGTACGTTTTACTTTCCGCGGTATTCACCTTCCAAGCCTGACTCCGTTCCTTTCGTATCTCAGACTTCCCCCGCGAGCGCAAGGATATGGGGATGGCAGGGAAGGCAGAGTGAGGATACTATCGAGCAGAAGAGCTTTGAAGTCAAGGGTAGTATTGTGCTTTTGCGACTTTTGCGTTGCAATGCACCTGCCTCGCGCTCAGGAGATCCTCTCACTCCTGTGCGTTTTCATTCTTTTCTACTCTGCGCTGGGCGTGCAGATGTGGGGTGGCCTCCTATATGAGGGCAACAAGCGTCTAGAGGACTTGCCTTTTGGAGAGAAGAAGATGGAAGGGAGCATTTCTAATATGTGGCCACAGCAGAGGTGGGGCAATGTAGCATACCGAGGTTCTCGTTCAGTTCTTGTGTGCGGAGGAAATGAGCTCTGTTACCCGGCTGTGCATCCGAGCATGGCGGACCGCTCGGCACCAGGGTTTTTCTTGGGAATCCAGGGTTTCACTGGGGCCTAAGTATGCGTTTTGTCGGTGCCCCTTTCGGGAACCCTCGGAGCTGAAAGGGAGTCTCGTGGAATTCCCTCGGGTTCCTCTCGAGCTCCTCTTTGGCCCCTTCTAGTTACGTGAAGTCTTCGGACGCCAGCAGAGGCGAGCAACTTTGGCTCCCTCTGGACGGAGCAAAGGCGAGAACGCTTCCTGGGGCTTCGTTGGTAGGCTCAGGGCCATCGCAGAGCTGGCTTGAGTCGACTTGGGTGGGGCCATCGTGGAGGCAATCTTGGGCCATCTCTGCCAGTCTTCCAGGCCACCGTTGGCCAGCCACCTTATGCAATCTGGCGGGGTTCTGGGGCCCGGCGAGGCCATTTTGGGGGCATCTCGGGAGCCTTGAGGCGGGGTTCAATGCAAACCGGGGTCAGCCACAGCACTGGATCTTGCAGTATCCTGCAGGTCCAGTGTTGCATTGACCCAGGTTTTGGTGCGGGATCCTGGAGTATTTGCAGGATCCTGCAAGGTCTGACTGATAGGGGTCTGGATTGACCCGGGTCAGGAGATCCCCAGGAGGTAGAGGGGCTCGTCGGTCCCCTTCCTCTCCCGCCTGATCCCCCCTGTCAAAAGTGGATTGCGGACGGCGAAGGGCAACGGAAGATGAGGGTCAAACATCACACGACTTGTCGCCCCAGGCGTGTGGAAGTTTGTATTTTTTGGCGAGGCTGGGCCATCGCCCGGCAGAGTCGCATCCTGGTTTGATTACGGCTATTATGTTGATGACACGTGTCTTACGATTATTATCGATATTGTCATTGGGCACGAGGCGCTGTCTCTCAGCACCCGACCGCGTTCGCAAATGCCATCCATTTCCTTTGCGGCTCTTCCAAGATGCGTCCTCGTTTCAGAATTTTGGCATTGGGATGGTTTAGAAGAGTACTGCTCGGACGACAGAGACAGCAGTGGAAACGGCAGCGCACTATTGGATCCAGTAGGGGCAGAAGCAGCGAAGGGGTCGGGGTGGCGGGAAGTATCCCTTAAATTCCTGATCGAGGGCAGCACACGACGACCTGGCAAGGGACATCCGTACCGACAGAGCATGGTCGCAGTGATTGTCGATCCAAAGCATTTACATGCGAATGTGTGTGTGTGTGTGTGTTGCGTGGCTCTTTAGATGCCCGATGCTCCCTCCGTGGACTCAACACGCTTCCGCCGCATAGGAAACCGAGTACGACGAGAAGGACTCAGCCGCGCATCACCTGCGTTTCTGTTTCCTGCATGCAAAAGGGGCGTGTAGAGACGGAGGGTAGGAGGAAAATGGACACACGAGGCTCAAGGGCTCTGCCTCTTTGAATTCCTCGCGTAAAGATCCCAGTTTGCCCTTCTCCCCCTTTCCCCCAGTTTGCCCTTCCCCTGCTGGTGCTATGTGCTAGGTGATGAGGCTTCGCCTGACACCCGCGACGACCGACGCCGGTCGGCCACCGCCTGACGACGGGTCGCTCAGCCGGTCCGCTCCGTTCGGGCCGCTCCCCGACGCCCTGCTGCTAGCCTGCTCCGTTCACCCCTCCTCTTCCTGCAGCGGCGTGGCCGGTTTTGGCAGCAGCTTGACGCTTCGGGGGCCTTGAGACGGGGGTCAATGCAAACGGGAGTCAGCCAGAGCGCCCGATCCTGCAGGATCCTGCGAAGACCCCCTCTGGCTGACCTGGGTTATCGAGCCGCTCGTGGCCGCGAGGCGGCCGCGCATATTGGCTGACCCGGGTTTGCGAAGACCTGCGTTGCATTTTTTTTTTTCCTGCATTGCAGTTTTTGGTTTCCTGCTGACCCGGGTCTGGATTGACCCGGGTCAGAAGATCCCCGAACGCCGCAGCCACACCGAGGGGCTTGGTGTTCACGATCTGCTAACGGTGTCCCTTCCTCCTTCTCATGGCGCCAACATCGCAGAGCGGATCTCGTTCGGGAAACAACAGGATGGGCCCGGGGTGTCCCGGAGACTGTCGTTCAGGATTTCGAAGTAAGTGAATTTCGTGTCGGATTTTTCTGGCCAGGAATCCACGTGATATTCATGCCGTTTTTCGCCCGCCGTTTCGGGGTTTTGCATCGGCATACATCCAGTCGAGAATCCGCTGCAGCACGTCTGCAAGGTCGGTGCAGTGATCCTTCTGCTCCTTCTTCTCGTCGTCCTCGTTCATCTCCTCCTACCATTCAGCCTTGCCTGCGCCCTCCCGCCTCTGTCGGCGAGGTCGGGCAAAAAAGCTGGCATCTGTCATAATGCTTGAAATCGTGGATCCCAAGCAGTGAGTTCTTTACTCTCTCGATGTGTAACTGTGTGCTGCAAGTTATGTGGAACGAAGCGGTACACCATGTGTAGTGTACGCTATCAGGTGCGATCTATGTGGTGCAATCCATATGATGCAATCTATGTGGTGAACGTTCTGTGATGTAGTCAATGCGGTGCTAGCGCTGTGAGTTATACACGCGTATAATACCTATATATATATATATATATGCTCTCTCTCTGTTTATTTGTATTCCTTCTCCGTGCGCTCCTCGGTGCTCTGCAGCATCTCGGCCCACGCCCCCCCTCGTGGCCCCCTTCGGCGGGCGACCTATGCAGGCGCTCGCTCGGGCGGCCCCTTAGGTGGCGGGCGAGCTGCTGTTCCGAGGTCTGCGAGCCGCGCTCCACGAGCTGCTCGCTCGCGGACCTCGGCGCCTCCTCTGCGGGGTCGCCGTGCACGCATGCCGCCTCGCGCCCATTTCGGACCACCCCTCACACGTCTCGTGCTCCCTATCCGGAGCTCCACCCGTTCGAAGGAAGGGGGGGAGTCCTCCAGGTGTTCCTTCTTCAGTCGAGCGCCCGTGAAGCACGTTCCTTCCGAACGGCCGTGGGTGCCGACCTGCTCCTTGCCCAGAGTCTTGCACAGTGTGGTCCATCTTGTGCTTGTTCTAAAGCCACTGCATTTGCTGCCTCTTCGCCATGTTTGCTTCAGTAGCCGTATCAGCGATTGTCCCGTTACTTGCATGTCCTCGGTGCGAGAGCGTAAGGTTGAGTCTAGCGTGGCCATCTTTCCGATTTCCGAATGGTTGCCTCCTCTTCGAAGGACTGGTATGTGCTGAACTTCCAAGATGTGCCAATGGCTGCCGGCGTTTGGGCGCCACCTCTAGAGTGCCACCATGTCTCCGTTCGTGCTCAAACATGGGTGGTGTTCGGCAGAGTTGTGCACACTGGAACGACAGAGTCATGGCGATTCCAAGCGGTGCAGCGGTGAGCAGAGTCGTCCCATTCCACCTGCAGAGCGCATTGAATATACAAGCATTCTCGTGCGTGGACCTGCATTTGTGCACGCAGTTGTATGCATGTTGTTGGGTGTACACATGCTATACGGCTGGAACTGCATGCCTGATTAGGTGTGTTATGTTTGTGCATACGTACGTGACCCCTGGTGCATGCGGATTATCGCATTCGATTTGGCATGTTCAAGCTTACGCCTGCCTTTGACTCTTTATGTTTGCGGACGCCGCATTTGTAGAATAACATGCTCATTTAAGCGTATGCCACGACCGCCGTACGGTCAGCCTGGCATGCGCCAGGCGGAACGTTTAAGTCAGGATGGTATGGGCGGCCGTTGGGTGGTAAGTTGACGCCTGCGCAGTCGAGCCCGGCAGCGTAATCATGAACACGTGATATCGAGCAGTTGCATGTTGGATCATTGCAGACGCACCACATCGAGACCGCAGGTTGGGAGTCACGGCGGGTCCCCAAAGGAAGTTAGCTCGCACGTTTCGAAACCAGCGAGCAGGAGGATAATGATGAGGGGACGGACAATTTGGAGGATGACCTTTGAGGAGTGAGGATGAAACGCAGTGGTATGACCTCAACTTCATGAGTCTGAATTGGGTTTTCTTGGGACCATGTTGTAGGCACACGTATAGTGAAACATGAGGCCAGCAATGGTGGACTCAGGGGTCATCCTGAAGGCCTCTTGGCGATATCGTGTAGCTCATGTTGGGCTATTTGGGAGCCTCAGAGCCGCTCTTGGCGCTATCCTTGGGTCACAATGGAAACCTGAAACCTTTAGACCCTCTTGCGGCCAGATTGGAGACCATCGAGCATGGTTCCGTTGGAACCCTGACTATCGTCTCTTGGGTTGCTATTGAGGTGCCTGGCGGCTTCTTTGGACCACTCGTTGCCTCAGGCCTCCGAAGCCCATTGTAAACGAAAGTGCGATACATCAAACATCGCCGAAACACCTAAGGTGTTTGAATGGTATTCGCGCCTCTAAGGGGTATTCTTGTAAGGCTTCTCGGCCACATGGAGCCCTTCCGTGCTGGTCTTAGGGCCGCCCGGAGGCATTCTGGGGGACATCTTCAGCCATATTGGGCCGTCTTGTGTCTTTTTGTAGGCAGTCTTGGGGTTTCTTGATTCATGTTTCAGCCATCCTGGGTAGTCTTGAACACTCGAACCCCTCGCGGTCCTCCCTGTCTAGACCCATGGTGAGGGCCTCTCCGATTGGGCTGGTGGGAGTCACGCGACCATTTGTTTCCTCCCTTGATGCGAGCAAGCAAGCGGAGCTCCCATCATTCTGGTTTGGATGCCGTCTGTGGGTTGCCATTCCGCGCCTTACGTATCTTACTGACATCCCTGCTCGGATCGTCGTCAACCCCTTTGCGCAGTCCTGAGTTGTGATGCTCCATTCTGGGAGACTGATGTCGTTGTCAAGCCTTTTCCGACTGGTCTGGTGTTAGCAGCACTCTCGCATCTATTTGTTGTTCTGCATCTGTTTCTCTTGCGCGTGACTCGAGTGCCTAGGTAGTTTCCCTGATTAGCGAGTACATCCAGGACTTGTCTATTGCTTATCTTTTTGTAATTGACAGGGGATCTCATCCCGAGGGGAACGAGAGTAGAGATGTGCCAGTCTGCATGCGAGAGTGTGCATCCACTTAGTTATGGTTCACGTCATTCCATGGGTCTGTCTCCTGCCAAATTTGCTCGGAACGTGCTCCCCCAGCTCTCTTGCTGGGTCCCATGGTAGGGTACCCCTGCTTTCCGAATCCATCCGTGGGTGTCAAGGTTGTTCTCGCGAGCCAGGCTTCGCTGAAGGATCAGTGCGGTATTTTGCAGGGACTGCATTTTCGCTCCCATAGAATGTGGGTGCGCCACATGGTCCCCGAACGCAACATTGGACCCCGCCGTGAGGAAGTACTGCCAAGGTCTTACGGCAGCTTCCGTCAACCTTGAAAAGTGAATAGCTTGAGCGCAAGAGTCGGAAGGGGTACTGGGGGCAAGGGGCAGTGGCGGCTTTAATGTGAGTGCAGAAATCCAATGGGACTCAGCCCATCCTGGCACCGCGCCTGGGCCGCGTTCCATAGGCATCGGGGACATGTTGGGGGAGAGTCGGGGGTTTCTCGGGATGCTCTTGGGGGCCTTTGTGGCACGCCTGGTTGTGTCTTCGGGTGGGATGTGTCTTCGGGCCTCTGCATAGGCCGTATTGGGAGTCTTGGTGGAGTCATGTTGGGGCGTGTGACTTCGGGCGTTTTTGGGCGTCGTAGACGCTACAGTCAACCCGCATCATAAGGATGGGCGTCCTTCCCAAGGGTACTCTTGCATCCTTGCCTCCTCGGTGCATCCTTGGCCACTTTCGTTGGCCGCGCTCCGCTCGAAGAGCTTCGAAATGGAGTTCCAAGGCCCTTGCATCCTTATTGCGCATCCTTATGATATGGGCCGACTGTATCATGGCCGAGGCGGCGAGAATGTTCCGATCACGCCGAAGCCGGAAGGAGCTCTGGCGAAATGTGGGTTTCCCAGGCTGGCCCCTTGGGAGCTCCAGGACGGCCCGCGCGAGACTCTCCGAGAGTGCCGAGAGGTCGGCTCCGAGATGCCTCCAAGCCGTTGTCTTCGTCCCTGCTCCCGAAGAAGGAAAGACGCCATAAACATAGACTTTTGGCGCTCCGAGCGGATTTCTTGGATCTTCGCTGGGCCCCCCCGGCGGCGCCTCCAGCGCCGCCCCTGGCGCGCTCCGTGCGCCAGGAAGGGGGGGGTCCAGCGCAGATCCAAGAAGTCTGCGCGGAGCGCCAACAGTTGATGTGTATGGCGTTTTGTTCTTTTTCTATGCTCCTCGAAGCTTGACGGGAGTGGGTTGCATTGAATGTCCAGCCCGCCCGCCCGATTGGACGCCCTTTGCAAGCGTCGTCTTCGTCGGTGGTTTGCGTATCGGTTCCCCCGACCTTTTACGATCGACGTGGAAGAATTACACTCCGTGTCCGGCCCGCCCGCCCGACTGAACGTCCCTTCTGCCCGCCAGTGTCATCGTATTTGTGCACGTTCCTTCAACTTTGACGAGGGAGGGTTACATTTTATGTCCCGCCCGACTGACCACTTCTTCCGCGCGTCGTCGTCCGTGGTTTGCGTATATGTTCTCCCGACGTTGTTTTATCAACGTGGGCGAGTTACATTTGGTGTCCCGCCCGCCCACTCGACTGAGCATTCCTTCATCCCGTCGTCGTCGCTTCTTGTGAAAGTTCATGAAAGCTTGGCGAGAAAGGGTCACATCTAATGTCCCGCCCGCTGGCCTGACAGATTGTTCCCTGCGCGCGTCGTCGTTGTCGTCGCCTTTGCGGGTGGTTTGCGCATCGGTTCCCCCGAGCTTGTCATATCGACGTGGAAGAGTTACAGTTAGTGTCCCGCGAGCTCGCCCGACTGAGCATCCCTTTTGTCCGTCGTCGTGGGCGTTGAATTTCTTCGCTCTGCTCTAACCATGCCGACAGAGGTTACATTTGATGTCCCGCCCTCCCGTCAGAATGGACTGCCTTTCCCCGTGTCGTCGTCGTTGGTGGTTTGCGTATCTATTCTCCCAACTGCTTCCCATCAGCGAAGAAGAGGTACATGTAATATCCCGCCCGCCCGCCCGGCTGAACGCCCCCTCCGCGCCTCCTCGTCGTGGCCGGGTGGCCACGTCGACGCCGCCGATTGTTGGCCCCCCCCCCGCCCCCCCCGCCCGCTGGTGCAGGACTTCCCCGACGCCCTGCGGAGAGTGTCCGGCTGGCCAGGCGGCCGCCGCGAGAGCCGCGCGCCCGCGCCCGGGAGCCCCTGCCCCAGGGCGAGGCGGAGGGATTAGTCGAGGAGGAGGGGGAGGGGCAGGAGGAGGGGGAGGA